ATCTGTTATTTTTATTATCTTTGGTGTTGAACTGTCATGTATTCTAGGCTTTTCATGTTGTGTTTGTTTTTAATTATTATTTTGATATCTTAAAAAGTAAGTTTTAAAATAGGGATACAGCTACATTCAGTCATTTTTGAAATGTTTATTGAACATCTATTATGTACTGTACTCTGCTGGAGGGATACTGAATGAAACTTAGAATGACCTGAGTAAAAGTTAGAAATCATAATCAGGCTTTTATCCCCCTGCTAATATGCAAGTCCGTCTACTTCTGGTCTTTCAGCTGGCTTTCTGAAGTACTGTGAACACCAGGTTAGCTGTTTCATAAAGGTAAATTGAGTAAAGCATTGACTTAAGGAATTAAGAATTTCTAACAGCAGCACACACTACCTTTCTATATAGAAATGTTGATTACAGTACCTATATTGTGATTATATCGTGTTTATATTGGAATAAAGCAAGGACTATACTTGTACTTTTAACTAAATCTGCTGTTGGATTTTTTGAACTTTTAGGAAGGATTTACTTTCATTTGGTTTCGTTAGACACCGTAGGATTTTTGCTGAAATTCTGAGACGAGCAACAGTAAAGCAGTACAGCAGTTGGAATGTCAAAGAAATTTAAGAGTCCTTATGAAGTAGGGAAGAAAACAATTCCTCTAGGTTGTTTAGGTTACAGTTCGAGAAGTAAGAGTTGACTTTAAAAGCTGAGCCTATGGAAAGGAAGTGTGAGTTTTATTTTTTTTTTAACTTGGGCTCCTTATACTGTGCTTAGTCATAATGAAAAATGAAACATTTGGTATTTTTCCTCTTTTTATTATTTGAGTCCCTTTGAGTGATTACATCATTTTTATAACTGTCTTTTGGAAAATTCCTAATATTGTATTTAGCATAGAATAAGTAGGCATTCACAGTTTTGGGGTTTCCTGGAATTTGGACTAGTATCTAGAAATGCCAACTTTAGGTTAAACTGAAGGGATTCCAGTTTTGAAAACTGTGAAAGCATAGTTTTCTCTAATTTCTCCAAGCTTCAGTTTCTCCAGCTGTATTTCATAGGGTTCTTATAAGGATCTAATACTTTTATACCTTTCGTACCTGTCACACAATGATTACTAGCTGGTATCAAATATTATTATATATGAAAATACAGAGATCGTGTAATATAGTGGTTAACAGCATGTACCCTGGGAGACAAAAAATAAATGAAGTCTGAGGGTGCAAAACGCAGGGAAGCCACACCCTCGGAACCCTTAGAGTGGTGAGAAAACAGTTTTCAAACAGAACCCCAGATTGGACGTGGCGGGGGGGGGACTTAAACGGTGCTGCACAAGGGGAAACATGGCAGTCAACACTCCTTACCCAGCTAGGATGCAGTCAGCCCAGCAGAACACCACGGAGTCTCTCAAAGGAATATTTCTGAAACATTTGTAGAAATGGAGCATTTTAGTCTGGAAGTGTTGCCCACAATAAAGCCCTAGTAACTCTGGCAGCACCATGAAGTAGAGTTGAGCAGTTAGGTCATCTTCCATGGAACTCATAGTCAGAACACCTACGAAAAGGAAATCTGTGATCAGAAGAAAGCATTTGTTTAGATGATAATACAGAAAACCTTACTTGGTCATTTTGTATTACTTAAAACTGACAGCCAGCATAAGGAGAACCAGATCATTGAGGGGGTACGGTGGGGACCGTGCAGTGTACAGAGTACACTGACTGCTCAAAGCTACACCTAATGGTAAGTAAGCTCATAGCTTCTGGAGAAAATGGTTAATTTAAGGAAGAGAAGAAAAACATTTCTAGAACTCTGCTCAGAGCAATGTGAAAACTCAGCCTCTCGAGTAGCTGGGACAACAGGTGTGCACCACCCAGCTATTATGGGACAACAGGTGTGCACCACCCAGCTATTATTTTAATTTGTAGTGTAATACATATATTTTAAAAATTAAAACACTAAAGAAAGATACACAGTGGGACCTTGCTGTGTATATTATTCTGTACCTTTTCACATCAGTGCATTGATCTGCATGTTATATAATTGTATAGAATTCCATTGTATTATTACCATAATCCATTGAGCTAATGTCATTGATGTAATAAAAATCCTTTGCACTTATCTTTTATGCACATTCAGATCTACCTATATGATAAATTTCTCAAAGTGGAATTACTTTTGACAGAAACTGCAGGGTTTTACTTTCTGAAAGTTTATCCCAATCTACACTTCATTCATCAGTGTATAAGAATGCCTCTGCAGTGGGTATAATTAACTTTTTATTATTGATACAAATTCTTTAATAATAGGTGAGGTTGAGTACCTTTTTGCGTGTTTTAAAATTTCTTTTCTATAAAGTATTTTAATTTTATCTGTCCATTTTTATTTTGAGTTACAGTACCTTACAAATGAAGGGCAGTATCTTTTTATCATAAGAGTTGCAAATATTTTTCCCATGTTGTTTGTGTTTTGGCTTTTGTTTCATGTGTGCCTGTTCATGCATAGACACATATGTAGACAGAGTGGTATTTTTAATTTTTATGTAGTCAAATTTATTAAACTTTGATAGATTCTTGGGCACTTTCACTTCTGATTCCTATACAGTATCTGATATTTCTGTTCAATAACATTGTAATTACATTTTCTCACTATTCTTTCATTTTTGTCCTTAACTAATTTATTTTTAATTTAACACAATTTAACACAATCCACAAATTTTTACTTATGCTGAAGTCCAGTGAAGAAATATAAACAATTTTTTAAACGTTGAGTCACCTAACATACACCCTACAGCTCGAGAAATCTGCTTCCCCTTCAAAGATTTTCTATTGCTCTTAACAAATGCCTCAGCATAATGTTATCTGGCCTTTTCTCTACCTTGTTCTCTAGTTATTTTCATTTTCTTGAGCTTTCCTTCTACCATAGGGACTTCGAACTTGAGGTTCCTACCTAGAATCTTTCTTCCTTCCTTTTTTTGCCTAGTTAAATGTACTCATCTTTCTGATCTCTTCTTACAAAGTAATTTGCTTAAGGAAGATTGTGCCTTTCCTTCTATCTTAAGTAGTTCCTCTGGTTACGTTCTCTCTGTACCATGTATCTTAGACTGAGTGTAAGTTCCACAACAGAAGGAATATGCAAACATCTACTATAGTGCCTACCTGTATTCATAGGTCAGTAAATATTTTTTGAATGGATGAATATGTGGATTTTAACTTAAGTATTTTTACCTTTACTGTGTGGCTTCAAGTGATATTTTAAAAATATAAATTTTACTGTATTTTAGTCAACCAGAATATCTTTGAAAGGTGACTCCTAAAAATCTCCATTATTTCGAAGACAAAAATTTGCTTTTCATAAGCCTGCAGCTGTGTTTTGGTAATGTGGTATCATTCTTCTGTCAAAACTCGAAACAGTCCAGATTTTAAAACTGAATACCAAGCTGTTCATGTTATAATTCATCAATTCTTAAGGCTTTATCCATTTCAGTCTTACGTGTAAGTCCTTTGGTGTTGTGGGAATTCTTGCTTTCTTTTATCCCTAAAACAACAGAAAAGATCACCATTTTCTGTGATTGGGGTTTCAGTGGATACATTTATATAATTTACAGCTTTTCTTTTATAAAGGTTACAGAGTACACTGCTCAAAGCCACACCTAATGATAAGCTGTTTGGTTCTACAGCTCATGTGCCTAAAGACCTTTAAGTCTCTTCTCAAGAATATGCAACTACCGTTTCTCTTTAATTCTGACTTCCCTAAGCACCATGACTCTTCAGGAAAGTTATTTCCTACTTTAGCATATATCTTTTTAGTTTTTTTTTTTTTTCCCTCTAGCAATTGATCTGTCTTATTTAAGAACATACATATAAAACAACAATAGCTCTCAAAAACTTCTTTTCATGACATACTTACTGGAAAATGATACTAATGGTTTCTAGATTTATAAGCCTATATGGATTTATCTTTGCCCGATCCCGAGAAGATGTAGCCCCTCTCACAAGGTGAAAATCAGGTCTAGGCAAAGAGAATGCTATGTAATCCATTCCCCAAATACGCCTGCATCCTCACCAAGGACGAAGTAGTTCACCAGACTTAGAGTTGGTAGAAAGATACCCAAGATGTGATTGGTTGTTTATTTCAAACCAGTGAATGTTATTAGCTGCTTTACCGAATGACATAAGCCTCATAATGTGACATTGAGGAAATTACTATATATTACCAAATTTAGTACTATTTCTAGTTTTAAAAAGAAATTCTGGCAAAGTTTTTTTCATTTTTTTAATCACCAAATTTTACAAAATTGAGTCCTACAATAATAATTATGTCTCATCTGAAGTGACACGTGCAGCCATCCCTTGGGCCCCCCCCCCCCCTGCATATACCAAAATCCTTGCACACTCAAGTCGACTCTGCAGTTGGCTCTTCACAACGGTACACATTTTGCATCTCACAAATACGGTATTTCGACCTGCATTTGGTTGAAAAAAATCGCATATATTAATAAATGGACATGCGTAGTTCAAACTTGTGTTGATCAAGGGTCAAATGTATTATAATAAGGAATAACATAAATAATAGAATCTAAATATCTGTTTCTATAAAATAGGTGGTTACCAGTTTTATATGACTGTTACCTAAATAGGAGCCTCAGGATTTTTCAGACATGCCTGCAGCCTGCCCACTTCCTTTCCACTTCCCTCAGTAACTTCCTTTTATCACTTTTGGGCGCAACATCAGTATAGTCAAGTATTAAAAATTGAAGAAAGAAGTAAATATAGCTGATAAAGGATGGGTATAAATTTGATAATGTTTAATTGAATAGGATTGCAGAAGTCTGAATAATAGAAAGTGATTGTTTATCCTTAAAATTTGTTGTTGGTATAAAAACTTTCTAAAGAGAAGGAAAGAAATGACATGTTCGTTTGTTTGTTTGATTCCACAGTATTCAAAGAGTTACTTGGTAGGACTGAACAAGAGAAATCTGGTGTTCCTCATATTCCCAAAATTGCTGAAAAAAAAAGTAATCGCCATTCTATCCAGGATGTACCAGGAGATATTGAACAGACATCACAGGAGAAAGGAAATAAGAAAGTTAAAGCAAACACTGTTTCAGGTGGAAGAAACAAAATCAGGAAAATTTTGGATAAAACACGATTTAGTATCTTGCCTCCAAAACTGTTTAGGTAGGTAATGCCAGTCTCAGTCATGTAGGAATTTTCATATTGACTGTGAAGTCTTTATTGTGGGGAAAGGAAGTTTGGGTCACTTGCTTTTTTATGCACCCTGATACATTATAACGTTTTCGAGCAATACATAAATAAGAAAGAATAAATTCTGAATATCTCCCCATCAATTTCATGAAATTACCACTGTTAGATTATGTCATCTTCCGTTAGCATTATTTTGAATTTTGGAAAAGACTGTCAGTTTTATTTTATGAAATCTCTTTTTATCTATTTTCAGTCCAATTTCAGTCCCCTGATCTACAAATTTGGACACATCTTAAATCTTGGGGATACATTCCCTGTTACCAGTTTTTTGGTTTTTTAAAATCATCTTTTCCTTGTGGCACTATTTATTTCCTCCTAAATTCTAAAGCTGAACTTTTTAATCAAATCTATATTCTATTTCTAAAATAGGATATCAGCAAAACTGAGTAATACTTGAAGATTTTAAAAGTAAATTGAGGTCTATAAAATACTGGTGGAATCATCCACTTAAGCAGCACGATTGGGGGTGACTCTAATATATATTATATCTCTGTATATGTTACATTATCAGCTTCCTGAACCTGTTACAAAAGTGTTAATCAAGTACAGTACAATACTTAGCACATAATAGGTACTCAGTATTTATTGAGTAAGTTAAAACAATGGGACAGGCATGGTGGCTCATGGCCTCTAATCCCAGCACTTTGGGAGGCCTGAGGCAGGAGTATTGTTTGAGGCCAGGAGTTCCAGACCAGCCTGAGCAAGAGAGAGACCATGTCTTTATAAAAAAAATGGAAAAATTAGCTGGGCATGGTGGCGCACCCCTGTAGTCCTGGCTACACAGGAGGATGGCTTGAGCCCAGGAGTTTGAGGTTGCAGCGAGCCATGATGATGTCACTGGACTCTAGCCCGGGTGACAGAGCGTGAGATGCTCTCCAAAAAAAAAAAAAAAAGACAATCAGTGAAAGAAATAAAGTATATTAAAACACATTTGAAGAAGATATTTATTTGGGTCCTGATAAGTCCCTGGCACTGTGCCAGGTGATAGAGAGATGGAAAGAGATAGTCCCTATCTCTAAGGAATTCATATCAGAAGCCCTTATTTGCTAAGCACAATGTCAAGAGACAGAAAGATGAATAGGGAATTTCTTGTCCTCCAAGAGTAAATAATCTAAAAGGGAAAACAGGCAAACTGCAAATTTCTTACATTACAGGATGACACCTGGTGTGTACAGAGAGAGAAGCAAACGTGTTAGGTTTGAATAGACCGTGTGTTTGTGTGTTTGCACCTAGAGATGAAGCAAGAGAGGAGGTGGTAGGTTATGAAGATACAGACTTCGTCATGATAGGGGCCATGAGAAGCCATGTGATTTGATAGGGTTTGTTCTTTCAGGAAGACGTCTCTGATGGCTGCGTTAGTGGTTTGGGCTTCTGGGTACAGCACAGTGTGGCAGTGAAAGCAGGGAGACCATTTAGGAGGCAACTTAGAATTCAGTGTCAGTTCTCATCTTTAAAGATAGCTATTTTAAAATAATTTTTCATTAGTTAAAAATATCAAAGATTTCCTGATCAGAAAATGCTCTTCTTCCTGAGATTTTATTTCCAGTCAGGGAAACACATTTGCTCTTCTTTTAATTTGAGGCTCATAGAGGTTTGAAACATCCTGAGCTTTCTTCTTAATCTCAGGGATTCATGGAAAGTTCATTGCTCATTCCTTTTTGAGGTGACTGCTTTCCTTGAGGTGAGTGGTTTGTAAAAATCATAACTTTAAAATCTCAGAGTTCTTTAATTTTGAGCATACTGTAGCAACACTGTACGAAAAGGCTTGTTCTCACACGTGAGCATTGAGTGAGAATATTAGAGGGGCACACCCACACTGAACAGGCGGGGACAGCCTAGGATGACCAGAACTGTGGCAAAGGGAGGAAACTGAGGGACCAGAAGGCAGAAAAGAGTTCACAAGGAGAGTTCTTTATGAGGGAATGCCCTGAGTTCCACTTCAGAAACTCCAAAGGGTTGGGTCTGGAGTACATGTGTCTCCTTTAACTGGTTCTCCTTTTGACAGTGGCACAGGTATGACATGTGTCATCTAAAACCAGAGAACGTTGTGAGTGCAACTCACTTCAGCTCGTTAGTGTCACATTGCAACCAGCAACACTCAAGTTCCAGGCAACTGAGTCAGTATCTCATTTCCACATTATCTTTTGGGGAGTGAGAATCAGTCACTGTACTTGGATTCTATCTTTGGTTATAGCAGGAGGAGTAGAAATTGAGGTCGCCAGGAATAGTCAGTTGAGTATTTTTAAGTATTATTACTATACTGTAGGGGGACGCTGGGGGTCCCCTACACACAAAAAATCTAGTAAAAATGGTTTTACTTAAACTTAGAAGGGATTTTTTTCATTTATAAGTCAACAAGCATTTATTGAGTCTCTTCCTTTGTGCCAACAGAAAAGCTATTGGCTATGAATAT